TAGTACATCCTGTTGTGTGGTGTTCCTTCACAATGATTCTCAGCTGCCCCACTCACTATAATTCCACACAATCGGGAACTCAGAAACATACTCCAGAATTTTCTTGTGCTGTGCAGTACTTTTGCAAAAGGCATGCAGGGCTTCTGTGCCAGGTAAGCCTGACAAAAATTAGAGTCGCCGTTGGCCGTTCATTTGACACTGGTGGCCAGTATCTTGTGAGTGTTGCACATGGTGCACTGGATATGCTTATGCTGTATTTTCACAGTTCAGCTTGCAAGATAATGCTTTGTGTAACAAAGTGAGGGTTTGAGTTTATACACATCACACTATAAAGTTAAAAGAACAAGAAAAATGCAGTGGAGGGTTGTGAGCCTAGGAGGAAGAAGAGGTTTAGAACTTAAAGGCTTGCCTTCTGATAGTTTGTGGTAGTGAGCTGCACAGATGATTGACAGGAAGCCTAATTTCTACGGCCTGAGCAGTTATGGTTAGTTAGATAATTCAGTTGAAGAAAAGACAGTGAAGGAAGCACCACTAAGAAAATGGTACCTGAGAAAGCTTGGTTAAGAGAGCAGCCAAGGAAAGTGTATGAGGTCAATGCAAATGGAAGAGAAATAGAGATGTTTCTGAACATGAGTTATTCAGGGACAATTGTTAAAGTTATAGAGAGTTATGCATTTTTCTTTTTCCTTGCTCAGCATACTTAAGTTGAAAATTGTTATTTAAATCTTTAAACTCGATCAGTCTCTAAATCTACCACTCAGTCATATCAGCTAATAGACTATGTGAGTATTTCCCAAGATATACTTGAGGTTACATTTGGGGTATTGAAAAAGAAACCTTGAGTGGTGGCAGTATCCCTGTACAGACTGTACATCACACATTGCATTCAGGAAGAAATCCTGCAACTGCATGCAACACGATTGCATGCCATCCATTACAGTACCTTATCGACTCTTAGGCAAAAGAAATACCGGTTTGTTGGAGAGCTATCCCAGTTGGAAAATTCAGTCAAGTGCATTCCTTGATGTAGGATGGAAAGCTGTTTCACACTTGCAAAATGAATGCAGTAGTGGCTTGCATGAGTGAATGGGCCATTATAGGACTATCTTGAGTCCTGTAAGAGAGAAAACACAGCATACAAACATTAAATTAATAAAACTAAAAACCACAGATAGGTTTTTCATTACACCAGACAAAATGTTTTTTCAGTGGAGCCTCTTCATTTGTGTGCAAGAGTAAACCCATCACCATGATAGTGGGTAGGTGGTTAACAACTTTGGCAGCTGCGATTGACAGCACACATTGTGCTTCATGCCATAGGACACATGGTACGAGTTCCGCGTTCTGGCTGTCATGCAGGACCTCATCAGTGAACCCAGCAACATTGCCGGCGTATCCAGCACGGGTAAGGGAAGTCTTCCTGCTTCTTGTCAAGTTCGTTCACCAACCCAGTGTAGTCTAGACAGCCTGTGTAGACAGCTGATAACTTAGGCTGTGACAAGAGGCTGACTTAAGGCTACCCACAGGAGAAAAATTTGGACCCGGTTTCCTTGGTGTCATCTCATTCACTTAGCTGTTGTGCTGCACTTGCAACTCTCTGTGAAAAAGTGCAGCGTGAGAAAGAAGCTGCTTCCTGATCTACTTTTATATGTCTAGTGAAGGTGTTCTACTTTACTTAAGGTCTCTGTTCTACATTTCTGTCTGTAGTGGGGTGTTCCCTCTGCTATCATATTTGGAACATTGGTTTGTACGTTGGTTCTTTTATAGTGTGCTGTTTTTATAGTGACTTAATTTGGGGGCTTCGGTGCAGTGTAGCAGCTAAGAGGCTGAAATATGATCTGGAGGGCTCCTGGTTCAAATGTTGATTCTGCCACGAACTTGCCAGCTAGCCCTAGGGAAGCATCTCAACCTTAGTCCTCCATCCCCCCCCCCCCCCCCAGCAGTAATAATACTGGATTGTTATACAGTGCTGCTGTCAGGAATATAACAAGGCAAGAGGGGACCTGTGCAGTGGAAGGGAAGTCTTATCCCCCCTCACTGGCCTCTGCTTCTTCCCTCCTTGCTGTATCCCTGTTTAAACTATCCCCCCACCCCGCATCCAATTTCCTGGCTCCCCTTTCAATCCACCCTCCCCATTCCTTCTCTCACTCATCCAATTACCGGAACCCCCCCCCCTTAAAGTTTTCGTGTGTGTGTGGGGGGACAAATAATTATTTTTTCCTTAGATTTTAATCTTTATCTGGAAACCTGGAAGTTACCCGAGGTTTGCAGAAACATATCCTAGCCCTCAGTGCTCCCATGGTGGATTTATTTGATTCACATGGGAAATGGCCATTGCTATTAAGTATGTGTTAATATATGTAAAAGACTCTGAACACTGAACTTGTTATATAAATGGTAAGTATTACTTCTAAGACTTGACTGTACTTCAGGTTATTGGTATGAATTTATTTTCATACATTATAAAACAAATTAACTATATGAGAGTCCAAAAATATTACTATCTCATCTCTCTGCAAGTCTCTTGAGTATTGTGGACTGTATCGCTTTCGACTTTTGGAGAAGGAGGATTCTCATGTATTTGGATGCTCCCCCATATAAAAAGCTCTCTGCATTCTAAACTAGCACACTAGGAAGGGGGCAACATTTTTACCCTGATATGTTCTGCATAGGGTCTTTTTACAAGGGGAAGCATTCAAAAAATATGACTCTGTCCCCTTGCGGTCTGAAGAGGAGCAGTCAAGAATTCTAGCAAGTCAATCTGGTCCTAGCTGGTGCTGTCCTCTAGTTGTTTTTCTCAGTAAAGCCGGTAGGCTGTATGTGTTTGAGTATTGCACTGAAAATTAAGTATATATCCATTATACTTGCATTCCACTCTTCCTTTCAAATGCTCATAGCCATGTTGTATAGTGGTTACAGTGTTGGATTGTTTGGGGAGCCCTAGATTCAAATCTCAGCCATGAAGCTCACTGGCTGACCTTGGGTCGGTCTCTCCCTATCAGCCTCACCTACCTTACTGGGTTGTTCTGGGAATGACATGGGCAAGGTGAAACTGGGGAAAGGCATGTGTGCAAGGTATGGGGTGGCGAGGCCATGGAGGATTTTGAAGTTAAGGAATTCTGTGCTGGATCTGGGAATGGATAGGAAACCAAGGGAGGGATTTAAGGGGTGGTTTGAATTGGCTGCAGTTACAAGAGGGGAATGGTTTGGGCAGCAGATCATGAAATAAGGTTGAGAGCAACTTTAATCGCCTGCCTTAATTTTCAGTGTATACATACTCGGGAATGTGTTGTTGCCCCTCTTCTGTCACTGGTCTGTCCAGGTGATCATTATACTTACATCTGAAAGTGGAAACATCCTTGTGTAGTGATTTTAGCAGCTCTTTTTCACGCATGCTTGAAAGTTGTGGAAATGCCTGAAGTTACTGGGTCTTTGACTTCCAGAAAGCTTTTGATGAAGTTTCTCATCAAAGGCTCCTAAGTAAGCTCAAAAATCATGGGAAAAAAGGACAAGTCTTTTTGTGGATCAAAAACTGGCTAATTAATAGGAAACAGAGAGTGAGTATAAATGGGAAATTTTCTCAGTGGAGAGTGGTAAGCAGTGGGGGTACCGCAGGGATCAGTACTCAGTCCGATGCTTTTTAACTTGTTCATTAATGATTTGGAGTTAGGAGTAAGCAGTGAAGTGGCTAAATTTGTGGATGATACAAAGTTGTTCAGGATGGTGAAAATCAGGGAGGATTGTGAGGCACTCCAAAGGGATCTGTCAAGGATGGGCGAGTGGGCGTCAACATGGCAAATGGGGTTCAATGTGGCCAAGTGCAAGGTGATGCACATTGGAGCCAAAAATCCTAAATATAAATACACGTTGATGGGGTCTGAACTGGCAGAGACTGATCAAGAGAGAGATCTTGGAGTTGTAGTAGATAACTCACTGAAAATGTCGAGGCAGTGTGTGACTGCAGTAAAGAAGGCCAATGCTATGCTGGGGATTATTAGGAAGGGTATTGAAAACAGATCAGCCAATATCATAATGCCCCTATATAAATCAATGGTGAGACCTCATTTGGAATACTGTGTGCAGTTCTGGTCACCACACCTTAAAAAGGATATTATAGCTTTGGAAAAAGTGCAGAAAAGGGCAACTCGAATGACAAAAGTGTTGGAACACTTTCTCTATGAAGAAAGGTTAAAGCACTTGGGGCTCTTTAGCTTGGGGAAAAGACGACTGAGGGGTGACATGACTGAGGTTTATAAGATTATGCATGGGATAGAGCAGGTAGAGAAAGAGGTACTTTTCTCCCTTTCTCACAATACAAGAACTCGTGGGCACTCTATGAAATTGCTGAGCGGTCGGATTAGAATGAATAAACGGAAGTACTTCTTCACCCAAAGAGTGATTAACACATGGAATTCACTGCCACAGGAAGTGGTGGGTGCTACGGGGGGGGCGGGCGACGGATTGTATTTTGGGTGGTTGGGGGGGGGGGGCAACAGTGGGAGGGCTTCTAGTGTCCTGGCCTCACTGCTGGAACTCCTGATGGCCCCTGGTATTTTTGGCCAATGTGTGACAGAGTGTTGGATTGGATGGGCCATTGGCCTGATCCCACATTAGCTTCTCTTATGTTCTTATGTTATGAAACTCTTGAAGAGCTGCGTGTCCTCTGCCATCTTAACTTCAGCTGATTCCATACAGCTGCCTCCTTGGATGAGGCTGGTGGAATTGCAGTGGGAAAGACTTTTGTCTGTCTGTTTTTGTAGCCTTCATTGAAACTGTTGTGCTTAGAAAGCCATCTTGAAAGGTTTTGTTTTCTGTCTGTCCCAGACATATTTCCCCAGCCAGACTTGACAGATGAAGGTTTGGCCCGGCCTGTGTTGGCAGGAATTGTTGCCACCATTTGCTTCCTTGCAGCTGCCATCCTGTTCAGCACACTAGCTGCCTGCTTCGTCAACAAGCAACGCAAACGCAAACTCAAACGCAAGAAAGGTGAGCTCATCCAGTTGCTACGTGCTAACACATTTTCTACCTGTCAATGGCTACCATCTCTAGTTGAAGACAGACAGATCTGTCAGAGTTTGGGGGAGATGGGTTATGTGCTCACTGGCTGCATTCTGAGGCAGGGAATATTTACAATACATTTACAGTGCACTCCTAGGCATGTCTACTCAGAAGTAAATCTCAACAGTGTGGTGTAGTGGTTAAGAGCAGCAGACTGTAGTCTGGAGAAACAGGTTTGATTCCCCACTTCTCCACCTGAAGCCTGCTGGGTGACCATGGGCCAGTCATGGTTCTCTCAGAACTCTCTCAGCCCCACCTACCTCACAGGGTGTCTGTTGTGAAGGGAAGGAGATTGTAAACCACTTTGAGGCTCCTTGAGGCAAAGAAAAGTGGGGTGTAAAAACCAACTCTTCTTCTTCTGTATTCAGTTGGGCTTATTTCCAGTTAAGTGTGCATAGGATTTAGGGTTGCCAAATGAAATTCGTCCGGGAGCGGGGGGCTCCTGGACAGCGTCCTCTTTGTGCGCGCGGGCATAGTGCGCGCGCGCCCCCCGCGTGCATCACCCGGAAGTGACATCACACGCTGGGGGCGGGGCGACACCATTTGAGGGGAAAACAAAGAGTCTTCCTCTCAAATGGCGTCGCCCTGCCCCCAGCGTGTGACGTCACTTCCGGGTGACGCACGCGCGGGGGTGGGGTTTCCCCCGGGCCCCGATTCCGCAGGAGCGGGAATCGGGGCTCGAAACCGGGGGGAATTCCGCCCCCCGGAGGGATTTGGGACCCCTAATAGGATTTCAGCCTTAGAATGCCTGTCCTCACCTTTGGCCCCCAAACTGCATTTTACATTTAGGTCCATAATTATATCTCCTGGGGTGTGTGTGTGTGCGCACAGCTGGAGGTGGCAAATTTGGATCAGGGCTGCAGTGCTAGAAAAGGTGGGTGGTTAGCTCTTCTCCCCAGGGCCAGTCAAAAACAGTCTGTGACCTATAGTGAGCACCAGTTGGGGAAGTAGAGAAGTTCCCTGTCCTTGCCTGTTTAGTCTTCTCTAGTGGTCCAATTGCATTTCAGATTCTGGATGAGGGCAGTTTTGACTGAGAAAACATTGCAGGAGGAAGAGTTTGCCGAACACTTCAGGTTAATCAGAACAGAACCCCTCCTGCAGATGCTTTTTAGGTACAAAATATGTTGAGTAGACCCAATCAAGGGCCTCCTAACATAATGGGAAACAGCTCACACTGCTGGTTTCTCAGTCCAAGGTGATAAAGGCATCAATATATTTTCTGTTATTCTTTGCTATCCAGAAATCTAAGCCTTTCTTTTGACACCCCTCCTTGCCTGTTCCCAGGACAGAGTTGACAAATATTTGGGTCTAAGTTCGCCTACTAGGGGTGTGCAGAAAAACAACAACACACATGGTATTTTTCAGGTTTGAGTATATTGAACCTGAAAAAGACCGGTGTTTCCCAATATCCCAATAACTAAACTACCTTGGATGGATATGGATGCAAAGAGGCATGCAACCTCCATTGTGTGTCTGTGTGCATGAGAGGAGAGAGGGTGAGTGGCGTGAGAGAGGAGGAATGGAAGGAAGAGAGGCAATTTTCCTGAGACAGGGAGAGCAAACAGGACAAAAAAAAATCTACAGTCTGCCTGTTTATCTCACTAACTTGTTTGCAAAACACCCCCCCCCCCCAGGCTTGAGACAGTGTCTTAGTCTTCTCTTCCAACAGTTTTCAGTGTCAGTAAGCAAGACAGGGTGAGCTCCTGTCTCTAGTTCAAGCTCCTGCCAACCTAGCAGTTCGAAAGCAAGAAATTGCAAGTAGATAAATAGGTACCACTTCGGTGGGAAGGTAACAGCGTTCCGTGCGCCTTGGTGTTTAGTCATGCCGGCCACATGACCACGGAAACGTCTTCGGACAGCGCTGGCTCTTCGGCTTTGAAACGGAGATGAGCACCGCAACCCTAGAGTCGGATTCGACTGGCTTTCGAGCAAGGGAACCTTTACCTTTACCTTTAAGAGGAGAAGAAACTTTGTGAGTCTGCCTCTTCCCCTGACACAACTTCTTTTTAAAGGATCATTGGACCACTTGCTCACATTGAATTGGGGGAGAGGGTGTGCTGCTGTAGAAAGACTGTCTAAAGAAAGCATCCAAGTTCAAAATCCTGTAAAACTAAGGCTGGAATAAGCCCTACTGTCACAGTCTCTTCCAACACCTACTTTCTTAAATTCCTTTTCAGACCCTCCTCTCTCAATAACCCACTGCAGGAAGAGTCTGGAATCGCCGTAAGTATCTCAGTGTTATAGGTACCACCCAACCAGTGATACATTGGGCAGCATTCATCAAAGGGTCAGTGTCTTCATGAAACAGAATTGGCCGGCGTTTGCATAGAGTTTCAGAGCCAAGTTAAATATTCAGCAGAACCATTAACTGAGCTTTTTGCAAGCTGATCAGAAACATTCCTTTTCCTTTTTATTTATTATTAATAACTAGGATGACCAAAGAATATTCAAACTGTAATAACAGTTATGATATACAAAACCATTTCAGTAATTTGGCATGAGTGCATGTTCCCCCTTTTACAAACATCAATAAAAGTTTGTCAGTTTTGGTCTGTTTTTCTTCAGTTTATTTACACAAAATATGGCATAATAGACACACTGCAGTTGAGATCAGGCTGAATGGAAAGAGAAGAGGGGATTTAACCCTTCAAATTCTTCCCAGGCTCTTCTTTGGATTTTAAAGGAAAACATGCTTATTTAAGAGGGCACAGCTTAATGTTTTTCTTTAAAGCCCCTAGAAACAAAAGCAGTGGGATATGAAGTATTAAATCCCTCTTTCTTTGCTACCCAGCCTTGTTCTGATTCTCAGCTGTATGCTCACTTTAGTTACCTTCCAGGGACTGGAGATCCATGACCTTTTTGCAACAGTTTTGGTCCTCTATCTTCTATAGAAACCTGAGAAGAAATTGCATTAGAACAGTCTTAGATGTATATAGCACCTTTAGATAAACCTAGCCCTTTTCGAAAGGCCTGCAGCACCGTTTAACTGATGGAAATGCTTAATGGTACAGTGATTGGAAGTGCAATCCTAAACAGTTTTATACCCTTCTAAGCCCACTGATTTCAGTTAACCTAGAAGGATGTAACTTGCTTAGGATTGCATTGTGGTTTATTCAACTGAAACTTGCCACATACACAAGTTAGATTCTTTCCAGAATAGCCAGGCTTTGTTCAGGCCTGGCCAGTCTAGTGTAGTGATTAGAGTTTTGGGCTAGGATCAGGGAGACCCCAGTTCAAATCCCCACTCTGCTACAGAGGCTTGCTGAGTGGTCTTGGGCCAGCTGTACACTCTCAGCCTAACTTACCTCTTGGGGCTGTTGCGAGAATAAAATTGGTCTACATATGAAATAAATAAATGCATATTTCCTCCTAACCACTGGGGATTATATATTTTTTTAATTCCTGTTCTGTTTTATGCCTTGATGGCCCTGAGGCCTAAGTAAGCACAGCATGGTGACTGACTAATTTAGACCCCAGCTGTAAACCCTGGTCTGAGCTAGGAATAAGCACATTCCCCTCTCTCTGTCCCAGTCGGGATTCGTTCTGTCTTTCTCCCCGGGGCTTTGCTCAGTCTTGCATCAAATTGTGTGGTACTCTGAGGAACAGAACACAAGGATTAAAGACAGAACACTCCTCCTTGGTGCCCCAGTGTTTGTGAAGGTCATTTATAGATCTCCAGAGATGTGCACTTCCGCAACTCTGAGAACTGGAGATCCCAGGAAAAGAGTGTGTCCACATGTCGCAACTTAAAAAACAAAACAGAAACAACAGATTCCTTCATAATGAGTTGCATGTGTGACAAACAGTGAAGGAAGAAGCGTATCTTTTTCAGCACACAAAGGACTAGTTTTTGAGAAGTTACCAGGGCTATTTTTGGGCAGGAATGCACAGGAATGGAGTTCCGGCTGGCTCCCAAGTAGGCCACGCCCAGCAGGAACTCATTAGCATAATAGGCCACACCCAACAGCAGAAACTCATTAGGATTGGCTACATTAGGGGTGTGTGGCCTAACATGCAAAGGAGTTCCTGCTACAAAAAAAGGCCCTGGGTTTTGACAACAAACAAGGTAAACAGAATAAGAAGCAAAAGGTGGGTGTGGCTGGATAACCACACTTCTGGTAACATGGGGGTGTGGCCTAATGTTTTAATGCGCTGTGCTGTCAGGGGTGTGGCCCAATATGCTAATGAGTTCCTGCTGTTGGGTGTGGCCTATTATGCTAAGGAGTTCCTGCTGGGCTTTTTCTACAAAAAGGGCCCTGGAAGTTACTATTTTTTTATGTTGCACAAAATGACTGTGCTATTCTCAGCAACCCTGGATTTCAGAGTAATGGAAAAGAGCATCTCTGGGAACTTAAAAAAACAATATTTTCCCTGATGCTGTTTTGGTGAACATCAGGGCGGGGTGCAAATGTCTCTCGGACTGTTCATCAGACCTCCCATAGATCTGGCATATCCATTTATAAATCTCAGGAAGTTTTGAGAATGATTTTGGTGTGAGAAGCTGGAGAGCCACTGCCATCTGAGAAGGTAATACTGTGCTGGATGAACCAATGACCTGACTCATTATAGTGTAGCTTCTCACTTACATCAGTCAGGGCTGGGGGGCAAGAACTGATTGTAAAATCCATCCAGAGGTCATTTCAGGGGGGATCGCGGGGGATCGCAGTTTCCCCGGGTGAGGTGCAGGGGGTGGGGCACATGACGAAGCCCCACCCCCTGCTTCAGGCCGCCCCGCTTCCGGCCCTCATTTAGCCAGGAGGAGGCAGGAGAAGAGGGAGGGTAAGTTGCTTCCTCCCTGCCTCTCCCCACCCCTGCCTGCCTGGGGCCAGGGAGGGCCTTCGCGGGGCTTCCTTGCACTCCCGCCGGCCTTGCAGGTCCACCGCCGGGCCCCTCATGGGGCTCGGCAGTGGAGCTGCAAGGCCAGCAGCGGCGGCTGGGACCGTTGGGGGCGGGGTGTGTGGCCTTATGACACACTTCCGGTGATGTCAGGGGGTGTGGCATATGCTAATGAGTTATGCTAATGAGTCCCCCTAGCTCTTTTTCTACGAAACGACCCCTGAATCCATCCTAATAGGATTTGGATATTTCTCTTCTGAGCCTCACTCATTCTTTTTACACACCATTAAAGAGGTCCATTTTTTAAAAAATCCCAATCCAGTTTCTGTTCCTGATCCCAGATCTCAAACCTTGCTTCCCACTCCATGGCACACTGACCCTTTTTTGTAATTTCTGCCGTCCAGGTTGTCCTCTGGCAAGGTGAGCCCCGAGAGCATCCGCACTCTTCGGCCCCCCTCAGAGTCTTCTGACGATCAAGGCCCTCCGGCCAAGCGTATGCTGAGCCCCAGCAAGGAGAAGGAGCTGTCTCTTTACAAGAAGACCAAGCGAGCCATCAGCAGTAAGAAATACAGCGTTTCCAAGGCTGAGGCGGAAGCCGAGGCAACCACCCCTATTGAGCTCATCAGCCGTGGGCCCGATGGCCGTTTTGTCATGGACCCTTCAGAAATGGAGCCTTCGCTCAAGACCCGCCGGATAGAGGGCTTCCCCTTTGTGGAGGAGACAGACATGTACCCAGAGTTCCGCCAGTCAGATGAAGAAAACGATGACCCAGTGATGCCCTCCTCTGTGACAGCCCTCAAGTCCCAATTGACACCTCTCTCCTCCAGCCAGGAGTCTTACCTTCAGCCACCAGCATACAGTCCCAGATTCCACCGGGGCATAGAGGGGACAGGTGCCCTGGAGAGCCGCCTCCAAGCCACTGGTCAGGCTAGGCCTCCCGCTCCCAGGCCATTCCATCATGGCCCGTATTATGGTTACCTCAGCAGCAGCAGTCCAGGGGAGATGGACCCTCCACCTTTCTACATGCCAGAGGTCAGCCCTCTCAGTTCTGTCATGTCCTCTCCACCTCTGCACCCCGAAGGGCCCTTTGGACATCCTACTATCCCGGAGGAGAATGGAGAGAATGCTTCCAACAGCACACTGCCCCTGACTCAGACTCCAACAGGGGGACGGTCTCCCGAGCCATGGGGCAGGTCTGAGTTCCCTTTCAGTGGTCTAGAGTCTTCGCCCATCATGTTTCCTCACCAGCTCCATCAGTGTGAAATGATTGAGAGCGTGCAGCCAAAGGCCAGTCTTCCTAGGGGACCACCACCTTCCTCTCTCCAGGTCCCGGCATCCTATCCTGGCATTCTGGCCCTGGAGGCACCAAAGAGTTGGACTGGCAAGTCACCAAGCAGGAGCCAACCCTCTGTGCCCACCGCCACCAAATGGCAGGACAAACCTATGCAACCAATGGCGAGCCAAGGGCAGCTAAGACATACCAGTCAAGGCATGGGCATACCTGTGTTGCCTTACCACGGGCCATCCGAGTCAGTCAGCCACAGTGGCACAAGCACATTCGGCCTGGATACCAGGTGGTATGACCCCCAACCTAGACCTCGGCCCAGCCCTCGGCAAGTCAGGAGGGCTGAGCCCAGTTTACATCAGGTGGTGCTACAACCTTCAAGGCTTTCCCCCTTGACCCAGAGCCCCCTCAGCTCCCGCAACAGCTCCCCGGAGCTGACAGCACGTGCCAGACCGCGGCCAGGCCTCATCCAGCAGGCGGAAATGTCTGAAATCACTCTGCAGCCTCCGGCAGCGGTCAGCTTCTCCCGCAAGTCCACTCCATCAACGGGATCTCCTGCCCCGAGCAGCCGAGGAGGGAGCCCCAGCTTCCGTCCTGCCATGGCTTTCACCTCGTTGGCCACTGGTTACCCTCCCACTCAATGCCCCTCCCTGCCTGTAGAGCCAATGGATGTCTTCGGACCAATTCCCTCACCGAGGAGGGCCGGGGAGGAGGTTCTTAGGCCAGAGCCAACGGCGACAACCAGTTCCGGGTAAGTGCGTGGGAATCTCCTGCTCCCTTTAACCTAGCCCTCCTTTCCCTTCCCACTTCACCTGCCCCCTGCCCTCCCCATGAGCTCTTCCCCTGCCATCATCAACTGTTTCATAGTTTTCTTAGGCACGCTGCAGCATCCTTTTTGGAGATGAGCTCCAGCTGGCATTGAGAAGGTTCCTTCCCATTTAATGTGCACTACTGGGCTAGGTCCCATTGGCCCCTTCCCCCATATCTTTACTGCTCACCTTGGTAGGTTAGATTAACTGAATGCCTTTTTGGGGGGGGGGGCTTGTTTGTGATTGTGTTTCATTCTTAAGTTCAAGAGTCCACTTCTGCCCTCACAAGAAATAAAAATTTAGGCTTACTGTGGTTTGGGAGTTGTGTGCTGGGATGAATGAAGAGGGTCTGACTATGTAAAGTTACACGTTCTGGTCTCTTCCCCCACCCCCACCCCCGTTGGGCAAGTGACCCGAGAAATTACCAGTATTTTCCTCTTCTAGTTCCTGGCTGCTTGCTTTCCTGGGACAGTAAGGCCTTTGGTCTGCTCTTTGCCTTCTTCACATCCCTTCCCCCCGAGCGGGTTTGTCATCCATCATGAATGAAACATGGCCACACAAGCTGCCTTTTACCACAACCATCTCCAAAAGGGGTGCTGCAGCCCCCAAGACTTGGGCCAGGAGAGAGAACGAGACATTAGCCACATGAACTGCTTGTCAGGAGAGGAAAAAAAAAATCCACCCCAAACACACAGAGAAGTCAAATCAGGAGGCTGTCAGCATGCTCGGATCCTGTCCATGCAAGAGATTGCAGCTGCTCTTATCTCCAGCAGCTTGTTTTCCAGGTACCAGGGTTGCACCAGGCAAAGCGTTTCTTTCTTACTGTCTCTTCCTTCTCTCCCCGCTCCCTGCTTCTGTCTTTCTCAGCACCAGTAGGCCATGCTCTCCTTCCATCATTTTGTCTTTGTTGAAACAAATTTTTGTTTTCCATGTAGTGCTTGTAACCCCCCCCCCCCCCGAAAAACAACAACGATCCCTGGCCTTGTGGAACCCAACATTTAATAGCTTGAGGCAGGCAGGTGAAGATAAACTACACTGGAGGGGAAGGGAACTTCTAGAAGGTGAGAAAGGAGAGTGGTATGTTAGCATGCGTGACTGGTCTAGTGCGTGAGTAAGTGCTGGTGGCTTGGGTCACGGTAGGAGAAAGTGTGGCATGGGGGGGCACAATGTGGGAGACTAGCTCCTCCCCCTGTGATGTCCCCCTTGGATTCCTTCGGCACTGTCTGGTACCTGGAAGATCTTAAGCCATTCAGAAGCCCATTCAGCATGATAATTGGGTGCAGATTTCAGGAGACAGGGCATGAGGGGTTTTAGGGGCTTTAGAAGATTATAAGACCAACAATACCCAAATAACCTCTAAAGTTGCTTAGTTTAAAATCCGTGAAATATGTCATATGTAGAGAGAGAGAGAGAGATCACCAACCTAATGGATTCTTGAAATGCTCACCAAGTTCATATGTAGGGATATTTTAGGACACTCTACAGGGCACGTCTGTGCTACAAACCTGTAGCAGGTTCTGTGCTAGTGACTGTCATGACTGCCCCCCCCCCATGAGGTGCTGACCAGTGTTCCCTCTAAGCTGAGTTAGTGTGAGTTAGCTCACAGTTTTTTAGCTCACGCATTTTTGTCTTAGCTCAGGAAGGAGGGCTCCGGAGCAAACTAACTGATGCAGGTCCCTGCCACACGGCAGGGAATAAGACGCTTGTACTGCGGCTAATGTGAGCCGCAGCAAAGTTGGGACGGTGCGGCGGGATCTCACAGATCCCCCGAGCCGCGTCGCAACGCTCCCCGGCACGATCAGATGCCGGGGAGAAAGCGGCGGTGGGAAGGGGAGCCTGGCGAACTGCGCATGCTCACACATGCGCAGTTCAACCAGGAGCCGGGGATGCGCCGGCGCAAGGACGCGCCGGCGATCCCACGGCCAGCGTTGCTGCGGCCCTTCAGAAAGAACCACCTCGGGAGGTGGTTCTTTTTCGCCACGGAGCAACGCTGGAAGGGACGGAACCGGGACGGATCCAGCACGCTCCCCAGATGTTGAGGTGGGATCGTGCCGGTTTGCTCCGCCCCCGTTCCGTCCCGCTCCCGGCCCAAATGGGCTCGTATGAACAGGGCCGCAGTAGACCAAATGGCTGGCTCACAGCTTTAATGCCAGTCGCTCACAAAGTAGAATGTTTGCTCACAAAACTCCACAGCTTAGAGGGAGCATTGGTACTGACTGACTATTGTTTGTTAGAAACTCCTAGCCCATCCTCCCCAGCAAAATAGTGCTCCCTTGGGGAAAAGCCCAAAATAATAATGAATCAAATAATCTCTATAAATGGTTGCTCTTTCATGGTACTATGAAATCTGCTCCCCCCCCCCCCCCCCCCCTCTGCCCCAGTTAGACCACCTGATCCAACTTAATGGTAAAGTCGGCTTCAGTTCCCTGCTCAGAACTACGACTCTCCAGATACCCTAGGAAGGGGAAATCACTATTCAAGCAGCCAAGTCTGTAGTATAGTTCTGTCCTTTGTGTGAGGCGACCCTGTTGTTTGCACTGCGAACTATGCCTTCCATTCGCTTCCTTTGTCCTTTCTTTGTTTCTCCCTTGCATTTCTTTTTTCTCCAGCATTGTTTGTTTGTTTTTGGGTTTGGGTTTTCTTGCCCCCTTCCCTCACTCTTCCTTTTTTGGAGTTTTTTTCCCCTTTCTCTTCTTTTTCTTTCTTTTTTTTTCCTTTTGACGTGCTGATGTCTTGTGGAGCTTGGCTCCTTGCGGGTGTTTATAACTGCTTTGTTTTTGATTAATCTCAGCTATCTGGGCAGTGTTGTCAAGACAAGCTACTCCTCAGCTCAATAGGTAAGGGTGATCGATGTCTGAAAGGATGGTGCTGGGACTGTGGGGCGCGGTTGGGGCTCGGGGCTCGGGAGGGAATATCACAGGGGCTTTTTCAACAACACACACACACATATATATATTTTTTCCTTTAAAGGGGAATAAGTTATTGCAAAATCCAAGACAAACCTTTGCACAGTCAGCCGTTGTGGCTTTTGGGTTTCCCTCTTCTGCAGTAACTCAGATCTCTTGCTTGGGAAGTTCGCTTGTACAGAAGCGTATGGCGCTTTTCGTAACTTAGGCTTGGGAGGCTAGTCCAGTCTTGTCAGCAAAGCGGGGTCGGCCCTGGTTAGCACTTGGAAGGGAAGACTGTACTTGGTTGGTACTTGAAAGGGAAGACCTGGATTGCTATGCAGAGGCAGGCAGTGATCCACCACCTGTTTGTCTCCTGCCTTGAAAGCTCTACGGGGTGGCAGTAAGTTGGCTGCAACTCGACAGCACTTTCCACAGCACAGGAATAGTCAATGTGGGGAATGGTATAGCAAGTCAGGGCGGATTTGTGGCTTTCAGTACAAACTTTGCAGGAAGGTGCTTTACAGGTTCCTTTCTTCTTTTGCATAGAGCAGGAATAGACAATTAGTGCCTCAAGGGCTTCCTATCTAGCTTTTGCTGACTCTTTGATCTCAAGACAGTTCCTCTTTACTTTGCACTCTGTCTTGCTTTTTCCCATGTGAACTGAGATGCAAGCAAAGGTCTCTTGTGCACACGTGTGGCATGCCGTGAACTCCAGCAAGTGCTTTGACAGAGTTCTCCCCTGAGCAGCGCACCAGCATCTCATTCCTGTATGAGTAAGAAGGTGCAGCCAGATAGGCAGGGGTTGTTTCGTAGAAAAAGAGCTAGGGGAACTCATTAGCATAACTCATTAGCAGAGGGGCCCGGCTGTGGACCTGCAAGGCCGGCGGGAGTGCAAGGAAGCCCCGCAAAGGCCCTCCCTGGTCCCAGGCAGGCAGGGGTGGGGAGAGGCAGGGAGGAAGCAACTTACCCTCCCTCTTCTCCTGCCTCCTCCTGGCTGAATGAGGGCCGGAAGCGGGGCGGCCGGAAGCAGGGGGCAGGGCTTCGTCATGTGCCCTACCCCCCATATCTCACCCGGGGGAACTGCGATCCCCCGCGATCCCCCCCAAAATGACCTCTGCAGATAGGGAGGGATTAAAGAAGCCTATGTTAGTGTCTCAGCTCATGTCCAAGTAACTCCTGGGGGAGTATTTTGGGTGTTAAAACCATTCCTGGAATGTGCCACTTCAGGCTGCAGGTGGCACTGAATTCTTCTGAAATGCTACAGTTTTACGGACCCGTCTACTTGTTTGAACTGGGTTTTAGGACAATCTGCCATAGATTCTAATGAAGATTCCTCTTGGCTATCAGAACTTGATAACTCATAAAAACACACTGGGGTGTTGAGGTGGGGTCATGAGGTTAGGGGATTAGAGAGCAATGAAAAAACTGGTCTTCTCCAGCTAGGTGGAGAATGGCAGAAACGGGACGGTAGCCTCAGTGTTAGAGTTTTTAAAGAAATTCAGCAGAGTTAAAAACAGCTTAGCAATGCCAGAGTTCAATAATCAGACCCAGAGTCCATGTGTGTTTAAAAATATAAAAGTTTACTACAATTCTACCATAGGGAAGGGTAACTTGGGAGAAAATAACAGAGAGCTAATTCAGCTACATCCTCTCTAGACTAGAAGAACTGGAAGAAGATGGCCCTCCAACGTGCTTCTCCTCCAAGGCGAACAAAGACGGGAAGAGGGCTCATAAAATGCAAAGTTACTAACACTTCGCTCCCAATCAAACTCTTAGAACAGGGATGCTTTCACGGGCTAACAGACTTGAGCTAACACTGGCTAACACAAAGACAGGTGATTTCCTGTAACAACAGAACAGACATTTAACCCCATGCATACACATTGAGTGTTTTCAACATGCAAATACCCAACACTCAGGCAGTGGATTTGAGTGGGTGGCAGCCAGTTTGGTGTAGTGGTTAGGTGTGCAGACTCTAATATGGGAGAACCGGGTTTGATTCCCCACTCCTCCACTTACAGCTGCTGGATGACCTTCGGCAAGCCATAGTTCTG